TACCCGTAAGGGATTCCCTGTGCCGTGTCGTCGTTATAGTGTGAAAATTAAGAAGGCTTTCACCTATAACAGTATAATATAATAATTAAACAGCTAACTCCAATGATTACAAATATTAGGCAACTATAGTAAGTTATATTAGCTATATGTAAAATATGAAAGATTCTAGTAAATTTTCTGTAAAGAATAAAGTTTTGAAGCATTGAATATTTTGGATAAATATAGTATTACAGAGTTGTAAACTTCTTGATACAATACAACCAAATAATAAGATCACCTGATATGGTAATTGACTATTGCAAATATATATAGGGTGAAAGTGTAGTAGTTCACTTTACTACACAATAGCAGGCAAACAGTTCAACATAGTAATAGTATAAAAAATCATATAAAGAACAAAACAATATTTCTAGCAAATTCAAGCTTACAAATATTAAATTGCATTATCTTCCACCTAACATGACTGCATATCTACAGTCATTAGATGCTAGAATTATTAAATCATTCAAATCTAAGTACAAAAATCTCTATTGCAAACATGTTCTTAATCAATTTGAGTCTAATATTAATTTGAAAAAGTTAGTAAATTCTTATATTTTATGACTCTTATTTGTTTAATTTATTTTATTAATTTAACCTTTTTTATTTACAGAAATAAACTAAGTATAAAGCAAGCAATCGATTTTATTGCAGAGTCATAGTGCAATATAACCAATGTAACTATTCAGAATTGCTAGAGTAAGATGAAAATTCTTTTAGATATAAGTGAGATAAAGATAGAAATTACAAATCAAGAATCTGAAAATAATTTTCTAAATAATGAGGTTGCAAAAATTATTGTAGATTTGTTATCAAATAATAATCTTGAAGCTTCTAAAATAGCCCAGTTTATGAAAAGATATATTCAAATAATCAATAAACCTGTTGCAATAGAAGGAATGCTCAATAATGAAGAAATAATTACTATAGTTTAAGCTAAAAAAAATGAACAAGAACAAGAAAGTAATAATAATAATAAAGAGCCTCCTTCTCTTTCTGTTATAGCCAAAGAGATGTATAACACAATACAAACTGTTTTATGATATGAAAAGCAAACTAATTCAGAATCTAATCTTGAGTTTGCTAAACTGGAATTTTTGTAAAAGTTAAATAACAACTATAAGTATGTATATAAGAAGTTTAAAAAACAAATACCAATTACAACTTTTTTTACTTCTGAATATTGATCAATATTTTATTAAACAATTAAAGATTTATTAAATAAATATTAATACTATAACAAGAAAATTAAGTTTAATATTATTGGCCAGAATGTGATTACTACTTTAAATCTGTAATTATTGCAACATTTCAATTATTTGCATAATTAATGTTCTAATTCATTATATAATTGTAATCAATCTTTGAATTTATAATCAATTCATGAAAATTGATACATAAAAAATCAAGAATACAAAAAAGGCCAAAATTATTCTTATTTACAGTCTGATATTGCTTTATGTTAATGAGCATTAGTGCTAACATAGTGTCAAAAAAACATAATGCCTACATGCTAGGTACTATGTTTTTTTGGCATCATGCCCAGCACTTGCAGAACTCTAATGAGCATGTACAAAAAGAAAAATAATAATATAGTATGATAAATTTAAAAATATCATTCTGTTCTATATTATTAATTTTAATATACTATACATATAGACTATACAAACTCATGACTTACAAATTTTATTCAATTGAATCACTTATTCAAATTTTGTTCAAGTCATAGCAATTAATTTATTGATTATTTTTATAAAATGCTTCAAATAATAAGTTATATAAAGCAAATTTGATTCAATTTTGTATATTATAAAAGACATATAAGTAAAAATCTTCAATTTCATGATGATTTAATGTAAGTGATTAGGTTAAACAAAATTTGAGCCAATTATAGCATAATTATTGTTTATAAATCACTTATGAACTTATTTATAAATTTTTGCATATATGTACCTAATTGTAATCTAATTACTTATAAATTTAATAATTGCTATATTTCAACTAAAGATTTTTGCGCATATAACTATTATGTAATGTAATGTGCTAAGAACGTACACCTTAGAATCCCTACTCTGTAGGGTAAACCGGGACAGGGTTTGCGTAATGTTCAACGATAGTACTATAATGTATCGAAAGAGGACATTCGATTTGGCAGAGCCAAGTGTATGCTTTATTAAAGTGTA